ATATATATATATATTATATATTAAAATTAAAGTGGAATAAACACTTAAGAACGTCCTTTGATGATGATCGATCATGACATTTGGAAATTTGATCGATCTTTGTCTCTTCAAAAAAAACCTTTTTTTTTTGACAATTTTAATAAGACGAATTACTCTAGACCACCCATATTATTTATTCTTTACTTAAATCAGTTTACTTAAATTACAAATAAATTGATAAAAATCTAAAACTGAAGATTTTTAAGTAAATTAATCATTTTTTTAAATCATGTTAACACAGATATAGAATAAGTTTCCTGTTAATCAAAGTAATTAACATTGATCTAGGGTGTATCTAATATATTTGGTTTTTTTCTGCTTCATCTTTGAATGGCAGTGTTTTTTATATAGTAAAGAATCATTAATCAAATGTAGCCTTGAAAGATTTTCTACCATCTGTAATTTCTTTCAATTTATATTTCTAACAAGAATTCATTTTTTTAAAATTTTTTTCCTTTTAAGAATAAGACATGCTTATCAGAATATAAAACTGTTTCGAATGAATTAAATGATCAAAAACAACTATTTTTTTTAATACAGGGTGGTCCAAAAATCAGTTACTGAGACTAAATTACTGTCTTATTTGAATATTTCATTACTTATGAACTTTAACTTTGCTGATTTGCTTATAAAAAGACAGTAATCTGAATTTTGGGCCACCCTTTCTGTTATATTATAAACAATGATATTAATGGAAATTAACTTACTTATGCCAGGTGGCATAGGTTAGGTTTGAGTGTGAAAGGTGATTCTGTGACTATGATATGTGATTGCCAACAACCGCAAAATGCTATGTTACAAAGGGATGAAGAAGTGTATATAGATGCTACAGGATATGTATTAATTGGTCAGAAACTTTTTGGGAAAGAAAATTATGAGGTAAATGGTAAAAATTTAAATAAAGATGACAGATAAATTTTTTTGCTTCATAATTTATTAAACTAAATTTTTATTTAAAACTGTAGGGAGATATTCAGCAACTGCAAATCATTCCAACACCTGAAGCGGCTTACGAACAGTGTACGGAATATATGCCAAACTGTGATGTTCCTTTGCCTTATGCAACAGGTCCTCCTGAAGATACTGTCTTTCCAATTTTTCCAGAACCTGTGACTGGAGATCCTCCAATAACAGATAGAGATGATAATGGAATTTATCCTGATGGCAATTCTTATTATAATAATACAGTGAGTTAATATATTTATCACATGACAATAGATAATGAAGTGAATGTTATGTGTTTGATTTATGTTAAATCAATGGTGTACAGATATATCAGATGTATAAATTAATATTTTAATATGTAAAATCATATTTTTGTTTATATAACTGAATAAAAATTCTGTTATACTTACAGGATAGTAGTCTATCTGGTGAAGGTCCACTACCTCCAGGTTATCATTATTATTATATTCAGGTAATTTTAATTTTATTATGATAACCTTGTCTCAATACAAAAACAATACAAACAAGATTTTTCTCTCTTTAAGGGTCCTGCTGGACCTCGAGGTTACCAAGGTCCACCTGGTCCACCTGGTCCTAAAGGTGAAAAGGTAAATATTATTAAAAATTATACATAGCTATAATAATGCTATTCTATCTTATGTGATTTTAATTGCATTTTTTTCTTGTAGGGAGATGATGGAAGAGATGGTCTTTCTGGTACAGATGGACCTCCAGGACCTCCTGGTCACATATTCATGATTCCTGTAGGTTAAAATTTCTTGTTATTATTTTTAGAATTGATAAAAATATTTTAAAATAGTAATTTAGTCTTTTGTTTTATAATAGATTCAACCACAAGGTGATTCTAAAGGACCAGATAGCACAGAGGGTTTAAGACAGATGTTAAGTCAGCATATGGTAAATTATTTTATTTTATACTTGAGAATAAAAAACTATCAAAGAAGAATACAAATTTAAAATTCATAGTAATTTAATTTTTAGTTAGCAATGAGAGGACCACCAGGACCAATGGGCTTAACTGGTTTGTCTGGTCCAGTGGTATGTATATGTTTTTTAATTTTGATTACTAAATATTAAAATTTTTTGTTTAAATTATTGTTTATACTTTCAAAACTATTCAAACTCAAGAAGGTTGATGAAAATGAGAATTTTATTATAAATTATTTTTGGATTAGTAAACTCAAAAATAATGCATTTGTTTCAGATAAAATTGGATAAAACATAAAAAGTAGAAATAGAAAAAACAAAAAAATTAGGTAGTAATTGAACACTTTAAACAAAATTAACTCTACTATTAAACAAAATCTTTATTAACTACATTTTTTTAGAGTTTACCTCACTTATTATTCCAATTTGCCAAGCATTTTTGGCTTAGCATAATCTATCTTTAAGTTCATTTCATCTTTAACATCAAAAGATGAACTGAACAATTTGTGTCAAAAGAATGTATGATTAAGTATCTCTTTATTACAGCCAGCTATGTAGACAGGGAGGGGCTCGTGGAGCTCTCCTCTCTGAATTTTAATAGAAGCCTACTGCCAGTAGCAAAATGACTGAGGCAGTTAGCTTCAGCCTTCTTCTGTCAACTATTAAATTTGAGAAATAAGCTTACCAAAAGAAAATTTTGGCTATAGGCCTGAATACAAACTGTTTTTGATAGTTTTTGCATGTAAAATCATATTTTTAAATATTCATAAAGATTGAAAAGCTCTAGGAAAAATGACTTAAACTGTGGAAACAGAAGGATGTGGAGGTGGTTTTTTTTGGGATACAGTACACACCAAATGAACAATCTGCAAAAGAGAATATCTCCAAGGGAGCCATTTCATGGGAAACTGACCCCTATTTAGGAGTAAGACACATGAAGAATACTAGGGTAACTCTATGTGAACCCACTATTGTTCAGTGGTTTTATCCATTCAGCCACATGTAGGCCATTATGGAAATGGGCTGATGTCATAATGGTATATTGAGAGTATAATTTTTGGTGTGTCTGGCTTAATATAAGTGATGTTCCAATTGTTCTGACAGTGTGATTAGAATTAGAACAATTAGAATTAATAATAAATTGATCTGGAATAAATATTGTAAGTTATTTCTTAATTATTTTTAATTTATTAATCTATTGAATTAATTTCAATTGGGAAATGAAAAATTAGTTAAATATAAATATACGAAACCTCAATATGAAAAATTCCAATAATTTCACTCCTTTATATATTTACATGAAAGTAATTATGTTTGAGTTTACTGATTCAATAATTTATTTAAAAAATTCAGCTCTTTTATATTTCTTACTTTTTAACTACACAAATATATATAAATATTTAAGAGAATTTAAAATACTATATATTAATTTAGGGTCCACCAGGACTGCAAGGTCCCAAAGGAGAAACTGGTGAACATGGAGAAGAAGTAAGTTTTATTCTGATCACTCAGTAAATTATTTATTATCACATTCATTATGGAGAGACTATCTAGAAGAGGGGATATTTGTCAGCAATATCAGAGGACCTGAAAGATTTTGTCTCAGGCAATGTATACTGTATACAATTTATATCAGTCATAAGCAACTCACCAGAGCCAGCCCTACCATAGGGCGAACGGAGCAGCCGCTCCAGGCGCTAAGTCCCAGGGGGTGCCTCAGTGGTAAAGAAAATTAAAGGGTATAAATTAGGGGCAACCAAGGGGGCGCCATAATAGGATCTCGCTCCATCCTAAAACTTGTCTCGAGCCGGCACTGCAACTCACAGCTCCAAAGACACATGTAGCTCACAAGATCTTAATATATGACCCCAGATCTTTGACAACATAATTTTACAGTATTTTCATGTTTTCTTGTCTTCTGCCATTCATTATCCAACCCTAATTAGGCTGATATTCATGACAAAGAACATTCATACTAAACTAGACCAGTAAAAAATGAGAATAAACTATATATTACTAGTTATCATATCATCAGAATATATTATTTTAGTACCTAGTGTACTGGCAGTTATGAAGTATATTGGTACTTAGCAAGCTTAAAGCTTGCAACTTCATTAAAAAAAAATGTATGTGGCGTGCCAGAAGCCTACAAAGTGGCCCTCATCCAGAAAAGGTTGCTCACTACTGATTTAGATCAAATAAGCAACCAATTGATTTACTAAAATAATATTTCTTAAACAAGGGTTCATTTCATCTAGCTTCATTTATCTTCATCAAACTGAATAATAAACTTGTATAACAAATGAAAATTCCAACTATCCTGTAAAATATAGTGTCTTTGAAATAATACAGTTTGTATACAACTTAAAGAACTAGAGGCAGAGCCACTATAAGCAGGCATGCAGAGTATTCACCTGCTTGCAAGTGCTATTGTCCAAGGAGTGCCAAAAGACATACTTAATTACATTCCTGATTTTAATTATGAAATGGAAAAAATGACACAAAACATTACAATGAAAAAGTAAAATTGTGAGCTCCAACAGGTCAAATATTAACACTGACATTATATAGTTAAATAAATTTATAGTACTGCAAAATCAAACATGTGTGAAGATGGTGAGTTTCTCATCCAGTGAAAAATAAATTTGTATGGACTAATATATAACAATGCTACAAGATGTTCATACCATCTAAACTCAATTCAAAGAAGTTTTACTGGTGATCAAAAACTAGGAATTCATGGTATCTTTGCACTAATTCAAAAAAAAAAGGACTTGCACATGAAAGTGACATATTGTATGGCATTATTAAGTATAGGACTATCTATTTGTGCACAGATTATAGTTACTTCATCATAATGACACTATTAAAATAAGTTTTCTTACAAAAATATCATTGCTATATAAAATTGTTATTCAAAAAAATAAATAAATAAAAGAAGAAAAATGAAACAATAAAACAAATTTCAGAAGGGACAACTGCCTCTCTAGGCTTCTCACTATATATATTGTTGCAGAAAGCCTATCATCATGTCTTATAATGAAAGATTATATTAGAACAACTCAAAATACTACTGATTAATCAGTGGCAAATAAAGCTCCAGCATTATATTTACAAACATTTTAGAATATTGAGTTAAATACTTTAACTCATAATGTTCTAATGCTTGAGTTAAAATATTATGTTAAATAATGTGTTCTTATGATGCTTCATTAAATATTATAAATTTATTATAATTTTTTAATATAAAAATTATGTATTTTTAATTTGTAATTATAATAAATATATTATTTATTTTAATATTTTAGGGGCCAAGAGGATTAAGAGGAATGATGGGTTTAAATGGAAGACCAGGAAGAAGAGTAAATGATTTTTACTTTGATGATTATCTGACTTTATTTTTATTATTTTAGAACGCTTTATTAATTTTTGACATTATCATTGTTTATCTTAACTAGGGACAAAGTGGTAAAGATGGAGAAAGAGGTTCACCAGGTCCTATTGGACTGAAGGTAAAATATAAAATTTATTAAAAGATTTAAATTGTTTACTTATTATCTATATGTAAAAATTTGATATTGATAAATTATAGGGTGAAATTGGTTTACCAGGGCTTCCAGGTTTACCTGGTGAAAAAGGAGAAAGAGTAAGAATTTTTAAATTCTTTAATTGTTAATTTTTCTTATTATTATAATTTGATAAAACCTTTTAAAGTACGTAATTTATAAAGTAAATGTAAATATATATTTTGTAAATGATTTTTTAAAATTATTTTTTTAATTTTAAAAAAGGGATTTGTTGGATCACCGGGTGAAAGTGGATTACCAGGGCATGACGGACCTCAGGTAATTAATCATTAATTTAAAAATGTAGAACATTTTTTACTTACAAGTTAGTTAATATTTAAAATATTTAACTTCATATACACATCATAAATATATATTGTAATTTATTTTAGGGAGATGAAGGTCCTCCTGGCCTGCAGGGCCTACCTGGAGACATGGTACATTTTAAAATTGATACATTTTGAATTAAAATGAATGACTGTATTTCATTTAAAGAATTTTATTATTTTAGGGACCACGAGGTTTTCCTGGTGCAAGAGGATTTCCTGGCCTTCCAGGACCTCCTGTAGGTATTAATGCAAAAAATTAATATTATATCAATTATGATTTGAATATTAAATTCCTCAAATATTATTGTTATTTTATTTCTTTAAAAGATTAATATATAATATTTTAAATTATTATTATTTATAAAGGGCATACCAGGTTCTGAAGGCTCTCCAGGACCAAAAGGAAATGAGGTAAGTCAGAAAATATTTAAATTATTTATTATTATAATTGTTTTGAATGATCTAAAATCAATAGTGTTTGATTTATTAAATTTTTTACCATGAAAATATATTAACAATAAAAAAAAATCAATATTTTCTTCAGTGGCATATATAAAGAGGAGCACTGAATCATTTATTTATATATTTTTATATAAAAATATGTTCTCCCATTATCACAGTGTTTAATTAGTCTGCTGAAGTTAGAAGATTATAATAATAATAATTTTAAAAAAATATATTGATTACAGATCATTTATTAAATATAAAAATGTATTTTAAAAGTATTTTATAGTAAATGATTAAAATTTTTTTATGTAGGGTCCAGCAGGCCAACCGGGTCAACCAGGACAAACAGGGCCAGTTGGACCAGTGGTATGCTTATATCAATTAATATATTTAAATTATTTTAAATTTTTATAAAAATTAAAAGTAATTTTCATATTAAAAATAATATATATTAATTACTAGGGACCACCAGGACCTCAGGGATCACCAGGACCACAAGGTCCAGCTGTATGTTAATATTTTTCTCTTGATATTTATACTAAAAAGATTATTAAGTTATTTATATATGTATGTGATAAAATTTCAAAGTAATTATTTTCACAGGGACCAAGAGGGAAGCCCGGATTACCTGGTTTACCTGGAGCTGATGGGTTGCCTGTAAGAACCTGATTTCTGTTTCTCTGTGAGTTTATAATCTAAACCGTGATTAGTTTTATATAAAAATTTATGAGAAAGTGATAAATTTAAAGATAGAATATTGTTAATTTTTAAGTTATATTTTAATTTGAGAATACAGTTTTTACAAAATCTATGAAGTAAAACTATAGCAACAGATTTCATTTATGTTGGTATTTTTGTATTGCCATCTTTTTCATCAAATTAGGGTCATCCTGGAAATGCTGGTGTCCCAGGTGCCAAAGGAGACCCTGTAAGTAATAACAAAATCCATAACCTATTTCTATTGCAATAATTATTTTCATATGTTTTCACTTTTTCCAAAGGGTTCTCCTGGTCCACAAGGTACTATGGGATTTCCTGGTCAGAGAGGTGTTAAGGTATCATTTCAAAATAATATTTTTATTGTTCTAAAATTTATTGTTCTATAATGCATTCTAAATTGCTACTCGTGCATGCTTTTTCAACTGAAGAAATTATCATAGTATAGAAAATTATCATCTTTTATATGTAGAAAAAAATTAATATAATTGTAATTAATGATTACCAGTAATTTTCATGAAAATTTGCCATTAATTTAATTATAATTTATGAAATAAACAATACAATGAAAATAAAATAATTTATGTTTAAACTTTGCAGTATTATTTAAGAATGTGTTTGTGAGAATGTATTGATATAATTCACAATTTAAGATAATGCTTAAATTTCAAAACTTTAATGCAAAATGCTGCAGAACATAGATTTATATCATGTATGGATTGTATTTACTAGTGTCATAACTATTATTTATTTATTTGTATTTTTGGAAGTTTATAACTTTTTAACAGTAGTTCAGAATTAATATTTCATTTCCATATTGGTTGGTTATGAGTTAATATTTTTTAACTGCACCATTTTGCATATTGTACAGTTATGAAGATGAGGTACTAGCCACTGTGGTAACTTAACTGAATTATTTAATGCATGTTTAACATGGGATTTTTGTATATAAAAAAATCCAAAATAATTTATTTAAATATATAAAATTTCATTTATACAAATATTTATTATGTGTTAAATTAGAACAGTAATTAAATATAACTGAAGATAAAAAACACATTTTACAACATTAATAAAACTTTAAAAATTTTATAGTTTAAAATTAAATGGATTAGAATATTTTGTACATTTATTAAATTTTATATTTAAGCCACATGAAATTCTTGTAGTCAATTACTTTTGCTTTTTCAGGGAGATCAAGGATTAAGAGGGCATTCAGGAGATAAGGGTGATAAAGGTTCAAGAGGACCCAACGGTGAAAAAGGTGATCAGGGTCCAAAAGGAGACACTGGGCATCACGGAATAGATGGACCACCAGGAATAGAAGGACCTGAAGGACCAAAAGTAAACTTTCTAAAATCTCATTTTTTGGCTTTTGATGAATTTTCTAATATATTAGCTATTGTTTTCTTAGAGCTTACAAACAAGCTCTAAGAAAAGTATTATGAAAATTTTATGATATTTAATTACAATTATAAATGTATAAAACTAAGTGTCATAAAATTACTTATGTGATATATTATTCTCAGGGATTTGAAGGTCCTAGAGGAGAAATGGGGCCACCTGGTCCTCCTGGAGAGAAGGTAATTAAAAATTTTAATTTTTTTCATATTTTATTATTACCATTATTACCATGTGCAATCAATTTTATAAATCTTCTTTATAATCATATTTGTTTTAGGGAAAACCTGGTATCCCAGGCTTTCCAGGTTATCCAGGAGCCCTAGGACCAAAGGTAATATTCAATTATTAACTTGAATCTTTCTCTTCTCTGCCTAAATTAGCTTTTTTTCCTGCCTTTTCTGATTATCCCTCTCAGTTAAATTGAGAAGGAAAAACAGAAGGAAGAAAAGAAGATAATTGAATCATGCTTTAATTTTTTTTCTATATATCTGTACATATACTATTCTTTTAAAAAGTAATATATAAATTAGCATTGCATATTATTTATGATAATATGTATCTTCTATATTAATTCTAGTAAGTTTTCTACTTTCTATTATCCTTCTGTTCAGTCTTGAATTTAAAAAATAACAATTAATATCATAGATATTATGCAAATTATCATCATACAAAATTAATGAGAGAATAAGTTTTAAATGATTAATTACAAATATTTGATCCTTAAAGATGAAATTTGAACAAGTAGATTTAAAGAAGACTATAACATATAAGTTATTTATTCATTTTGTTACATCTTTTAGGGAGAAAAAGGTTCTTATGGTAAACCTGGTGACAAAGGAGATAAAGGTGAAAGGGTATGTAATCATTTTTGTAATTAATGGCAAAGACTATGAAACATTACCAAACGCTTGAAAATGGCTCATAAACAGTCCAGTAAGCAGAAGTAAATCATAAGAGGGCTACAGGGACAAACTAAAAAAGTTATGACTAATATTTTTCTCTTTTCTAGCCAGCACTATGTCTATTAGTTACAGTCCAAGTGTTAAAAAAAAGTAACAGTAACTTAAGTTTACATGTTAAAGAAAGTAGACTCTAGGACATTAGGCTGATTCCTTAACTACTTTGGCCATCAAATATTATTTTCCATAGTGAAGAATACTGTTGGCTATACTTTGGCACTAATACATTCGTTACAGAAGTTTNTAGCTTAATTGTAATTAAGTAAAATTACATGTTTTAGGGTGCAAGAGGAAAAGATGGACCACAAGGAATGCCAGGTGAAAGAGGACCTCCTGTAAGTAATTTAATTTTGTAAAAGAAATAAGCAATATATATTTATTTATGCTTAAAAATATATTTGGTTTTATAAATAAAATCTATGAAAATGTTTTCTGTAATTGTACAGCTTGTTTAATGTCACAATTATTTTTAGGGAGAACCTGGACCATTAGGGCCTCCAGGACCACCAGGAGTTATTGGACCACAAGTATTATTATACAACATAAAATTATAAATACAGATTTTTTAAAATATTTTATTTTAAAATTAATAATTGTTTGATGTTCATTAAAGGGGCCTTCAGGAGAACCAGGACCATCAGGAGATGTAGGAGCACCTGGTGCACCAGTAAGTTTTAAGTTAATTTTTTCGAAAATTTTAAAATATACCTTTGAATTTCTTATATAAATCTTAAGCAATTAATAGAAAGCAATTATTTTTGTATATTTAGGGTGTACCAGGAGAACCAGGATTACCAGGAACATCTGGAAAAGAAGGACCACCAGTATGTATATAAATTTGATATTTAAATTCAAAATTAAAAAAAAAAATAAAACAATATTTGAAGATTTTTTTCAATTTTCAAATAGATTTATAGATTACAGTTAATATAATTTTTAAATATTATTATTATTTTCATTTTAACTCTTTCTGCTGTACGGGCACTAAGAGGGTTCACCCATGTCCATTGTGAGCCTGGCTGAACTTTCTTAATGTCTCTTTATTTCACACCCATTGTGGGTTCAGGCAGGTCTACAATGGCAGCAGCCACATGGTGAGGGATGGGGCCCAACATACTCATGACAGACTATCCATGAAAAATTCTTGGGAAGTTGATTTAGCCAGATTTGATCACAGGCACTCTAGGACATTAGGCTGATTCCTTAACCACTTTGGCCATCAAATATTATTTTCCATAGTGAAGAATACTATTGGCCATAGTGAAGAATACTGTTGGCTATACTTTGGCACTAATACATTCGTTACAGAAGTTTTAGATACATTATAACTAATTTATTATTAACTGAAAGCAAATCTGCTAATGATTTTGAAAAATGTCAAATGTTCTGTCAAAAGAAATTAACAGTTTATAGGATTAAATTATAAAAATATTATTATTATATTAACATTAAATAAACTGCATACAGGCATTGCTGACTAAGTTGAGGAGACTTAGCCACCTCATAGCCCCATGGCTACAGCTCTGCTCATAAATGAGTCATATTATTAATAAAGTGTAGTTTTTAGGACTTTATGGATGCAAGGTGGAATGTTTGTAGGAGAGTGAAATGAGTAATTTTCATATTAATATGGCTATCATTATTTTTTGATGATGTGAAAATGCAGTTCTTGAATGGCGAGTTTGAAATATCACATATTTGAGTGAATGAAAGGAATGAAAGAATTTTCTTAGTAGGAGGTAGATAGGGATAGATTATGACCAAATATTACAACAACAAATTTATGTAACTTAGCTACCAAGTTAATTTACTTGTGTGTCTGGAAACACAAAAATTGAGTAAGATGGACTTGGTTACCTGAAAGTGCTTGAGAAATACTGTTATAAAACTCCAATAAAGCAGTTTATTGGGCAACAATTTTCAAATTGCAGACCTACACATTCCCAGTATCATCCATCCATCTGTCCATCTGCCTGCTGTCCAAACTGCTTTTGATGATTTGATAATATTTTTATCTACCATATCATGTTGTTTAGAGTAAAGCATGGAAGTCTTTACTGTATTAATAATATAAAATGAAATATTTTACTTTTAAACAAGTATGTTTTGAATTACCAGTATGATAATACAGTATNTAACTGAAAGCAAATCTGCTAATGATTTTGAAAAATGTCAAATGTTCTGTCAAAAGAAATGAACAGTTTATAGGATTAAATTTTAAATAAATTATTATTATATTAACATTTATATTAATTGTACATTTACATTTTCTAATTTTTGTCTTCATATAGTATCAAATCTGTTTAAAATAATTTGGCATTTTTATGTTTAAAATAAAAAATGAAGTTATATTCTACTTAATAAGTTTGTAAGTCTACTGACTCCATGGAGAATCAAAGAAAATTCTAAAAATGTTATTTAAAGTATAGGAATCAACATTTATTAACAGATAAAACATTTTTCAGGACTTCCTCATCTCATAATCATATTTAAATGCATCTAATACATAAAGAATCCAATGAGAAACATTTTAACCATTAATAAATGTTGACTTATACTTTATCTAGCATTTCTGTAATTTTATTTGATTCTGTTTTATTTTGATTCAAGAGAATCTAAAAACATTTTTACATAATTATTATTAAATCTAACTCATCTGATCTATCTTAACAACAAACTAGCTTCATTATCATCTTAAACTATTGTTAAAAGCAAAATAATTTCACTTCAGGCCGTGGTTCAAAATTCTAATGCAACTTCTCCTCTTCCCCCACCTTGCTGCAAAGGATAGGACCTTACATTTCAAAAAAACCTTTAATCCTTGACTGAGAAAAATAATTATCCAATCTATGATCAAGACGATTACTTTTATCATGGACTGTAGACATTTTGCTTAATATGTTCAGACCTCTGTTGACTCCAGACACTGGTTCAGCTTAACCATTTTGCACCATTGTAGTTCTGTCACTGATTAATATATTATAGATCTATAAATTATAAATCTATAATATACTTACATATAAGTACAATATAGATACTATAATATAAATTATAGATATATTTGAAAAGTAATATAACTCATATAACTAGTATAAAATAATAAAAACTTCTTTCAATATTTTAAAGGGTCCATCAGGTCCTCAAGGTCAGTCAGGTACTCCTGGTCCTCCTGGTCTTCCAGGATTTCCAGGTGAAAGAGGTCTTCCTGGTCCTTCTGTAAGTATTACATCTAAGTTACATCTTAAAAATTTTTAATTAAATTACCAGTACATGCTTATGGTAAATTTTATTTAATTTTATTTTAATTATTAACAGAATATAAAAGCATGTTATGTTTTTAGTGGTAGTATTTTTAGTATTATTTATAATTATAAAATTTTTATATATGGTAATTTTTTAATAGGGAATTCCTGGATTAAAAGGTGAATTAGGACCACCAGGTCCACCTGGACTACCTGTGAGTTTAAAATATTAATCTTCATATGTATATTGTATATTTTAATGCAAATCTCAAATATTATTCTAAAAGTTTAAAATAATTTTCTCTTTTAGGGTGATAAAGGAATGATAGGTATGTCTGGAGACCCAGGACCATCAGGTGAAAAGGTATAACAATTTTAAATTTCTGTATTTAAAATGTTTTAACACAGTGTTTATATACAAATTATTTTGCAATTAATAGGGTCGTGAAGGACCACCAGGACCATTGGGATCACCAGGACCTAAAGGAGATAAGGTACTGTAAATTTTATTTGCTATTACACTTATTAAAATATTTATTATTAAATACCAAAAGGGTAATAAATTTCAAAATAGAATTGTAAGTTTTTTTAAAATATATTAGAATATACTTTTTATTTTCTATATATTATCAGTTATGAGATAGTAAACAAATTGCTTTTAACTATATTCAATAAATTAATAGAAAGCCTTTAAAATTACATTACTTTTGTACTGTTTGAGTGCATTTTATTCAAAGCACAATGCACCAGATGCTTAAAAAATCATTTCAAGAAATGGATTCTTGATTTGGAGACCAATTGGAGAGATTCCATGCATTTTTTGCTATTGATGGCAAACAAATAGATATTCTGTATCTCTAAAATTATGAACGAACATTTGCCATCATATTATCCAAAATTTCTCTTATAATTTGATCCAAAATTCATCTTAAAAAATAATCCAAAATTTAATTATCTTTTATATTTTTAAAAAATGGCATATATTATATAAATTTAATTTTGAAATAGTTAAATATAAAAATGTATTTTCATGTACAATAAAAATCTGTATTTAACATACAGTATATAAAAATGTTTGCTTTCAAATGTGTTTTTAATACACCAAATCTAATTAAAAAATTATAATTTTAGAATCTTTTCTCATAAGTTAATATCTTGAAAACATTTATGAAATTTTATTTAAGAATCTATAAAACAAATTTTATAAACTTGAAATTGATATATAGAAGATCCCTATTTGTATGACCTAATTGAGCTGCAATTTGAAAAAATTGTAACCTATAAATTCCCACTGTTGTCTATTCGTCTGTCTTTCCTTAATTTCAATAACAGAGCTAAAGACGAAAGCTAAGACCAGATATGAAAAGATTAGAGGCAGGAGGCTCCGATTAACTATATATGAACTTCCAATGCAAACCAGAAGTCATGTTGTTATAACTCAAAAATTTCCTCTGAAAGGTCTTAGATAAATGACCAACATGACTCTATTGTTAAAGGAAAAGTATGATGTACAGAGGCAAGACACTACTAATTTCAGGTGGACAGCATATATTTTAAATTAAAAATATTAAAAATTGCAACCCAGCATTGTGATGATGTTGCAATAAATAATTGTTGTTGGCTAGTAAAAAATTGTCAAGCAAGCTGTCACAAACTAAACTCCTAATTTCCATCAAACTCAATATTATAGATTGAGATCCTATATAACAACACCAAAATAATCGAGATAAAATATAGCATTTTATACAATCATAATAGAAAATTTATTCCATTTGTATTGAATAAGAGCAGGAGTTTCAGAGTGGAGTTTCACTGTACTCCATTCAGTGCATTTGAAGCATAGGCAATCATGTATGTGTAGAATGTTAGAAGGATGCTAAAATTGAATTTCATTAATTAATTAATGCTTTTATTAATATTTCCGTTATTTTATTATTTATTTTTATCATTATTTTTATTTTATATGTGCTTTACTTATTCAGATTATTTCATTTCAAAGATAATAAATTTACTAAAAAGTAAAAAATAATATTAGTAAGCATTTTATTTAGGATACATTTAGCATTTATTTTTGCTAAAAAAATTTAAATTTAAATTGTCTCATTTAAATTAAATGAGACAAATGATTAAATGAAATAAAACTGGATTTTTCTTACATTTAATCATTTGTCTCTTCCATAGTTTAGTGTGCTAATAACCTCCTCCCTTCCTCCCTCCCTGGAATTTCAGTTAGATTACATTCCTCAGTCACTCTCTGGTATATCTTGCATAGGGAATCTCCACAGCCAATAATAAGGGTGTAAAAAGATAGACCTACCTACTACACCCAAAAACATGGCTAGAACTGAACTGTCACTAACTCCATACATATGTAAAACAGAAATGATTACGAAAAAACTTCACAAAACCTGATAAATTTGTAAAGCCAAACAACTATCAGATTACGTCAGGCTACGTTTCCACGATTATAACTGCGGAAAAGTAGCCTGATGTAATCCAGTGGTTGTTCAGCTTTAGAAATGATTATTATAAATTCCTATTTATTGATATAGACAATATATTTTATAATTTTTTATATACAGTAATCTGTAAAATTATTTTTAAAATTTACAATTTTAGATTTGATATTACACTACACTTAAATATAAGAATTACATAATTGAAAAATAAATAAATTCAATAACTTATAATTTACTAATTACATATTTAACATTTTAGGGTGATTCTGGATTCCCTGGACCAGTCGGAAGAGATGGTCCACCAGGAGCAAGAGTATGTTTCATTAAAAACATTTTATCATTCAATTTTAAATAAGAATCTTTGAACTGAAACTTTTTTGTATTTAGGGTATTCCTGGACCTCCTGGACCAGTTGGAGTACCAGGAGAAGATGGCGATAAGGTTAGTTAATTTAAGTAATAATTAATGAGAAAAAGTATTAAATTTGCTTAATAATAAATATTCTGAATTTTGCAATTTAAAGTCATTATACAGTTAATATATAGCAATTAAATGCTAAATATAATAGTTGATGTAAACATAATTTAATAGCATTATATTAAATTCTATTTAGGGTGATGCTGGCCCTGCTGGTCAAAAAGGAAGCAAAGGCTCAAAAGGTGATACTGTAAGTAATTATTTTTTTTCTATAACAATTTTTAATTCACTTAATTATTGTTAAATATATTCTAGTTATAATTAAATAATCTATGGCAACGAAATATTCAAATAGCATTATATAGAATATTAGAATGTCTTAAATAAGACTGTGCTGATGTAAATGAAAAAGCTTTGACATTTACCATAATGTGAATAATAAAACATATTTTTACAATTGAAATTAAATATTTAAATAAATTCTTAATTTTTTCCATTTGCAGGGACCAAATGGACCTCCAGGATCACAAGGTCCAAGAGGAGAACCTGGCCCTCCAGTAAGCATACACTAATATTTTTAGTCTTTTCAATTATTATTATGTTTATCTAAATATTTACCATTTTTAGGGACCAGATGGAGAAAGAGGAATGATTGGAGTATCAGGTCCCAGAGGTCCTAAGGTATATACATATTATATTATATATATAAAAAATTTACTTGTTATTAATTTTGTATCACTAAAATGCCAATAATGACTTTAGCTGTAGTATATTTTCTCCAAACAAACAATAGGTTCTATAAAAATTTAACAACACAAATATCCATGTACAAATCAAAATTATACTCATTTAAAATAATAAAACAAAATGTTTAAATATTCTTTTTTATAATTTGAATATATGTTTAATTATATTTTTATCACATTTATAATCATACTGTTTAACAATAAAAAATCTTAAATGTATATTTAATATCTGACAATATTAAAAAATATAGACTTTAATCCATATTCTAGTACAGTATATACCATACTTGAGTTTCTTTGTCAGATGTAGCTAAATTATTTCCTGCAGAAGATCGTTTTCAAACAACTTTTTGAATCTGTGGCATGTCCAGGTATCATTATAATAAAAGCATTAGGAATAAATTTGTGCATAAAATTATTTTTGGGATTTCCAAAATTATGTATGCAAATATGGGTAGGTGTGTATGCAAGTAATCATTACAATGTGTTACAAGGGAGGGATGTTTACAAAAATGTTATGTAACAGAATGATTCATAATTATTTCTGAAATGTTGCATAACATACCATACTGTTTGTACATTATACATGTAATTAATAAAATAATGTAACGTTTGATACCCCATACTGTGTATTATTTCTTAGTACAGTTATGGGATTGATTGAGGATATGAGTTACATAATTTTGGGATGGATATGTGAGTGTTACAAAGCATTACAGTGGGGTGGGGTGGGATGGTATTTGAAAAGTATATAAATAGCATTACATAATTTATAGATGATCCCTTTCTAAATAAATTTAATAAAACCTATACACATATAAAGTATGCTTGATTTATTTATCTTTATTTAACTATTAGAAAATTATATGAACAATCATTAAGTATTTATTAGAAAGTTTCCTCTTACCTACATTTATTTTAAATTTTTAGTTAAGGAAGGTTGTAAGTCTCCTTTACCTCCAGAATTTATCCATGTTTTGAATCACAATAATCACAATTATTCTGAATCATGATTTTAATAATTGAGAGTGAATTGTCAATTTTCTGAGTTGTAATTATTTCAACATTTTATTTCTCTTAATATTTTTTTGTTTTTGAAACTTAAGTTATAACTCATCATCCACATTTAAAAAATTACACAAAAAATTAGAATTCCCAAAATTCTTACTAATATTTATAGTGAGATGATTGTAAATTCTTTATAAATAGCATCATACTAAAGAATTCAAATCAAATTGTCAATACTGAATTTGCTGTAAAATAAATCTGATATTACAAAACTCTATAATTATTTTGTACAATGCATAATCATTCTTTCATATTATATTATATTTATTTATTTTCTTATTAAAAGAAATATGATAAAGTACTAATATACAATAAATTTTATTTATTCTAAAATAGCTTTCTTCCATCTAATAAAACAAATACAAATGTTTGAATAAAAACTCAATTAAATAAAAATTCTGATTAGGATTTTGAAGTGTTTGACTTTGTTTTAAGCAGCTCTTTACAAAGTATTAAATTGAACATGGTTTTCTGATCATTGTAATTATATTAAGAGTCATCAAAATGACTATTTAATATATATTTCAAGTACAAAGTACTTTTGTTCTTGCAAAATAACACGAAAAGTTATTTTGTAACAATGTAAGTAGTTGAATTACTAAATGTTTATATGTAAAAACAATCAAAAGAACTGCATGAAAAGTAAGAAATCATCACAATAATCAAAAATCCAGGAGAAAAGATGAACACTTTAATAAAACTAACATTTCCAACTCACTTTATTGGCTATTGTTAGATTTACAACAAAATTAATGACAAACGTAAAATAGAATTTACAAAATTCAAACTAAAAAGAACATTAATTTGGTTGAATGTTGCCTTACATCTTGATTATAACATAGAAGACAGTTTTTGATTTTTGTTATTAATACTTTAATCAGTAGCAGTTTTGTGTTGTGTGAGACCCTAGACAAAGATGGCCCTAGGTCACATGGTACTGTTCATATATAGCAAGCTTATACAAAGTAAAACCTGTATCACATAGCACTTGATATTATATAGTCTAGGATCCTAGGACCTAAGAATCTAGTTTTGAACAAAGTGCTGAATCAAGACCGATTATCAGTAAATATATCAATATAAATGGTCAAAGTACTGTAATTTTCTAGGAATTATCATATCCACATGCAATATAATCTCTAACCAATCAACAACTTTATTTTACCCAGATACAATTCGGAAATCACAATATTTCCCTCTTCAGTTGATTTTCTTCCATGCAAGCACAATGCACAATTTTCCATTACACTTCCAATTTCATTGTTCCAACCATTTAACTACTTTCATACTAAAACCATTTTCATCTGTGTTTCTTGGTAAACAATATTTATTAGCATAGTCCTTGCTATTATTACTTTCATGGCTAGATTATAGATCAGTAGACATATGTTTGAGGCTCTAAAAATGTGAGGTCAAAGATAAAAGTGTAGACTTTTTATATCAAAACCATCATTTAAATAACTGAAAAAAAATTAAAATTTTTTATTTCCATTTTTATTAATCATTTATGTCAGATGTAAAGCACTCTAATAGATATTAATTAATAATTTGCTAATGATGTGATTTTTTGAATAGGGTGAAGATGGCCCAGTTGGTCCTCCAGGACCTGCAGGCCCTGCTGGTTTACAGGTATTAAAACTATTCTGCTTCAGCAGAATTGAATTTTCAAATTTAACTTTAAACTATAATTTAAATTTTTAGGGGCTTCCTGGAACTATAGGTGCTAAAGGCGAAAAAGGAGATGGTGGAAAAACAGGACCTCCAGGTCCATCAGGTCAACCTGGTGAACCTGGACCACCAGGATCAAAAGTGAGTTTAAAAATTTAATGAAATTTTAAAATATTAAAATTAATGAAACTAAATTTTATATTATAGGGAGGAGAAGGAGCACCTGGACCTCCTGGACCTGAAGGTAAACAGGGACCAAAAGGAGAAAGTGGACCACCGGGCATACCCGGTCCTCCTGGAAAGGATGGAGAACATGTAGGTTAATTGTATTATTCTTATAACTTTTGATATGGCTATTAATATTCTTTATCAAATCATTTTAGGGACCAAGAGGACCACCAGGTCCAAAGGGTGAATCTGGGAAGCCAGGAATTCAAGGAATAGGTGGACCAAGAGGGCCACATGGGCCTCCTGGTGCAAAAGGTTCTCCAGTAAGTACTATATTGTTTTAAGTGGAAAAAAAAATGCAAGTTAGTTCAATACATAAGCAAAATATTTTACAGGGAGTACCAGGTTTTCCAGGTCCTCCGGGTGAAGCTGGTGTTCCTGGACCAAAGGTTTGGATAACAAAACATATTTTTAAATATTATACATGAAAAATTTCTAATGATTCCAACTTGTTAGGGAGACAGAGGTTTGGATGGTAATGATGGAAGCCCAGGTGAACCAGGACCTGCAGTAAGTTTGTTTTAGAATAAAACCAGACTTAGTATACTGTAAAAATTCAATAAAAGTTTCTAAACTTGAGTTTTTTACATAGGGACCAGCAGGTGAAGCTGGAAAAATGGGTTTAGCAGGTGCTCCAGGAAAACCTGTAAGAATTTCAAAATTTAAAATTAAAAAAAAATATCTATTATTCATAATTATTTAAAATGAACATTATAAATTATTAGGGTCCACCAGGACCTGCAGGTAAACAAGGTGAAACTGGATTACCAGGTGAAAAAGGAGATAGAGGACCCCTTGGTGCATCAGGAGAACAAGGTCCACTTGGACCTGCTGTAAGAATGCTTTACTTCATAACAAAAATTAAAATATTTTACCTATTTAATTAAGAAAAGATGATCAAAATTTGATTTTGTTAAGGGTTTACCAGGTCCAGCAGGTCCCCCAGGTGTTAGGGGATCACCAGGTCCTGCTGTAAGTAACTACTTATTAAACATATTTATAATTTTTTTAACTTATGTAAATAAAGTATGGTAAATTATGAATTGTTTCTATTATTAGGGAGATGTTGGCCTTCCTGGACCAAGTGGCCCTCCTGGTCAACCTGGAGTTTTAGTAAGTTTCTTTTATATACAGTATGTGTGTTATACTATTAAAATTTATTCAAATTATTACTAAAATGTAGGGTCCTGCTGGAGCAAAAGGCGATAAAGGTGATATTGGAAGGAGAGGGCCAAAGGTATATCATCATAAAGATTTAATATATATCAAAAATAAATAAATAAAATTAATTATATCTATCTATAATTTCAGGGACATCGAGGATTAATGGGTCGTCCCGGAAGGAAAGGTGATCCAGGAGAAAAGGGGGAGAAAGGAGAACGTGGTATTCAAGGGCCACTAGGCCCAAAAGGAGACCAGGTTGATTTTATAGAATTTTATAATTGTTTTGTTACTACTCTGCATACCGTAAAACATCTTTAAATTATTTATCTTTAACACAGGGACCAAGAGGAATGGAGGGACCAAAAGGAAATGATGGTCCTATGGGATTAGCAGTAAGTAGTAAATCTATGAAATTCATATATAATGCAAAAGATATAATATATATTTGTATATATTTCAAATTAAAAATTCTAAAATATTTTATTTAGGGTTTGGAAGGACCATCAGGACCAAAAGGATCAACTGTAAGCATAAATAATAATGATCTAAGAACTCAGTCTTATGAGTATTATGAATCATAGACTAAATATATCTTAAATTTTATATTCATTTATATAATTTTAAAATTTTAGGGACCAGATGGACCTAAAGGAGATCTTGGACCAGTAGTAAGTATAATAAAATTTAAATAAATATTAACAATATTAATACTTGATTTTATTAATATCATTTTTCAATATTAATGGCAATTTTATTTATTTTAGGGACCACCAGGACCACCAGTAAGAATGTTTTTAAAAAATTCTTTTAAAAAAGATGACATTGATTTTGACACAAATATTATATTAGGGTCCACCAGGTGAAGGTCCTCAAATTTCACCTGAAATGTTGCTACATGGTGACGGAAATGTATTCCGATACAGAAGAAGTGTTTCTGAAGATAAAGAAAAGAACGAATCCGAGCCAAAGACTGAAGAACTTAATAACAAATTACTTAATATGTATGCTAATATTTATGTAATGAGGCGAGAATTAGAGGGGATGAAGAAGCCTGTCGGAACTAAAGAAAATCCTGTTCGATCTTGTAGAGATTTATACTACGGTCATCCTGATTTTGGAGATGGTATACTTTTGGTACATTAATTTAATTTTAATTTAATTTTTGCTTCAATACATGACTTTTTATAGGCTGGTATTGGATTGATCCAAATCTCGGAATGCCAGATGATGCTGTGGAAGTTTTTTGCAACATGACTGGGCAAGGACAAACCTGTGTTTTTCCAGATAAACATACATCAGTGGTAAAAACTTAATAATAATGCCATTTTAATTTCAATTAATATTATTATTTCTAATTATAATTTTCTTAATGTTTAGATGCCAAATATACCATGGAGAAAGGAAAAATCTGACAAATGGTTTAGTATGCTACGAGGTGGTTTTAAGGTAAAGTAAATATTAATTATAGGGTGGCCCAAAAGTCAGTTAACCATTGTAAAGACTCAATTGGTTGTCATATTCAAATAGTTTATTACTTACAAACGTCATAAAAATTGTTAAATACACAAAAATTACAATGCTTTAACAAATTCAGTTTACGATTCACATTCACAAGTATACCTAAAACACAAAACATGGTTAGCTGATTTTTTGATCCCCTGTATATTTCTTCTCATTACAAAAAGTAATTCAAGCCTAAAAATTTTGTAGATAACTTATGAAACAATTGGACCTGTTCAATTGTCATTCTTAAGACTTCTTAGTAAAGAAGCATATCAAAATTTCACATATACCTGTATCAATTCAGTAGCATGGTACAACCAACAAAGTTCAACATTTGATATGGCTGTTAAACTGTTAGGAGATAACGGACAAGAATTTAGCAGCAAATCTAATCGTCCACTCATTTTATACGATGGTTGCAAGGCAAGTATTAATCTTTTTTTAAATGCAATTAAATAAATTTTGCAGTTGTTAAAAATCCATTCTCTTTCCAGAGTCGGAGCGCAAACAGCAAAACAATATTTGAAATCAGGACGGGAAGGCTTACGCAGCTTCCCATGATGGATTTCCAACCTGTAGATTATGGACTACCTCACCAAGCTTTCGGCTTTGAGGTTGGACCTGTGTGTTTTAGTTAACCAATGAAAATTGTAAGTCTACGAAAATGTAAAACTGCCAGTGAACTGATCTCATGACAGAAAAGTTTTGAAGAGAAAGTAGAGAACGAAAGACTGGGAAAGAAAAAACAAATTCAACATTACAATTTATCACTGCCAAATTTTTATTAATTTTGTGTTTTTTTTTAAATAATGTGCGTTGAAAATAAAAAATATTTTTATTAATGCTTTTATTATGCTATTCAACCAAGCTCAGTGTAAGAGTAAACTATTTATAAAGCTGAGAGGAATGAATTATTAAATGACTCATATTATTATGAAACTTCTTTTGTGGCAATGATACAAAAAAAAAATTCTGTTTTATGAATAAATGAAAAGTGTTGGCTAAATCGTTTAATGTTCAAAGCATTTCCTGTTTTGTCTTCTTGTTAATATAGTGTATTGTTGTTGTTGTTATTGTGCAGTTTAAAAATAAGCTTATACTATTTTCATCATTGTACAGTGAGAAAGCTTTTGTTTCATTTACAAAATAATCCAATTTTAATTGACAATTATTAAAAACTTTAAATTTGTATATTTTGTTTGCATATAATTCGATAACCTTGACAATCGATTCTTTTCTGTAATTTTATCTCTCCTACATTTACTAGCGCTACTTGTGACTGTAATTTAAAATGTTTTATCTATATATACCAGTATATAATAGTTCTTTAATACTTTAAATTTTTAAACAGTACGTTGTTAAAGTAAATTGAATTTCAGTAGAAGTAAAATTACTTATTTCAATGTTTTGTTTAGTTTTAGTAATAGTGTTTTGTTTGACATTAATCGTATGAAATATTAAATCAAATTTCTTTTGTTTGTTTATTTTTTTAAATAGATTATAGCAATTTATACTTGTTGACACAAGACATTTTCTCAGTATAACATCTAAACAAAAACATTATCAGTCTAAAAATAGCGATGTAAACGAAATTTCAACAAAGATAAAATGAAATATATTAATCGTAGGTATATCTGGTTAATTATTATGATAATTTTTCGATGAAATTAATAATATTAGTTCATTTTGCCACTGAAAAGTTTCTTTAATTAATTAAAATTCCCATCGACACAACATAGAATCTTTACTAAACATCATAAATTCTCCATCTAAGAAAATATTTTACATGGAATTAAATTTATTTTTGAAATTGGTAGGTGGTCCCTCGCCTTTTAAACACTTGGTAATTTTAATTCTGTAGTTCACTTACAATAAAACGCATTAAAAACCATAATATATAACATAGTTAATTTTATGGCTTTTGTACTTTGTCTGTGGCAAAGTATAACCTTACATCCCCGTCTTCGTATTTGTTTTTTAAAGATAAACTTTTTAAAAAAAAAGAACTTTTCCCCTGACATGGAACCATTGTTAATGGCCGTGCTAAGAGTGGGTCATTCATAAATTTCCCTTCACTGACAGCATTACTGCTGCGAAGGCAGTTTGGCCTGTAGTGTNTTTTAATATAAAACCAAAAAACAGGTTAAATAGCACTTAAAATATATATTAATATAAAATACATAAAACAGATCTAATAATTAACCTGCATCACATGACTAATAGTTTCCCGTTCAATGAGAATTTCGGACAAACTCTTTGTCCCGAGAACGTTTCGTAATGTTGTCGCCGCTAAAAGACGTGTCGAATGACCATAATCTTCAACATTGGAAACCGCAATGGTAGCATTGCTGATTCGATAGTAAACTACAGCATCCACGGCCACAGTTACAGAATCTTTAGAAAGAATCTGTAAAATGAATTAAAGAGTGTTGAAACAGTGAACTATGTTGAAACAGCTTCAATTTCCTGTTATAAAAAAGACAATGTAGCAAAGTAATCTTTAGCTGATTAAAAAATATAAAAAAGTTATATAAAAACATAAGAGTCTAATTAAATATTTTTCAATACTGTTATTAAATATATAAAAATAATCCAGATTAAGATGAAAATTGAAACAGTACAGAAAGGAAAATTAGATAGAAAATTACTTTTGGAAGCATTATGAAGAAGAAAATAAAAAAATATTTATAAAATAGAAAAACATCCCTGAGATAGCGCTATTACGTTATATGCAGATCGAGAAATAAAGGTTGAGAGCTACTTAGAAAGTATAGAGAACTAAATTATCGATATCTATAAGAGATATATTATAATATATCTCTTATATAATACTGTACTCTGCACCTAATGACTAAGAATGTACAATTTTTTGCATAACTTTAGATAAAAGTCAACTTTAAGAAGGAAAGTATTGCATTGATTAGATGACATTTTTTAAAGTCCTTACAAATTTTAGAAATAAGATTTCTAAAAATCTTAGCAGGTAAAAATTTTAGTTGAAATCCTGGAATGTGATGAAAAAATAATGATCTTAAACAGAATAGGCACATTATTTTGTTTTGGAATCATTTAAAAGATAATTTAAAAAATTAAGATGATAAGCAAACCACAATGATAAATGATCCAATTATGAAAATTTGGTCCTGGTATTAAGAAAAGATTCTTTTAAATGTCAATATTTTGATTCAATAAATTAATATGTCTTTCCTTTAATATGTTTTTCTTTTCTTTTTTTTTTTGCAAAATTTGATAAGGAATTTTTATTCAGCTTTGGTCACGAAACCCTTAAAGAACTCCATTGGTATTGGAAAGACGATGGTGGAATTCTTTTCGGCAGCTATAGAACTGAGGGTCTGCAGGTAGCGAAGCTGGAGGGCTGCGGGTGACCCCGATATCACTTCTGCGGCATCCTTCAGAGCTCGGGAGGCTCGTTGTTCACCTTCTGCCGCTATCACCTACACAGAGAATCGTGCCAAGTGACGTTTTTAATGGTACGCTTAAAATTTATTACTAATTGTAAAGAAATTATTTTCAAACAAAATTTACCTTAGCACGTGCTTCCCTAGCAGCCTCAGCTTCTGCTGCCATGGCTCTCTGCAACTGAACAGGAAGACGAACATCTTTTCTGTAATTAAATTATTAAATTTTCAAAATAAAAGTTAGCATATATACTGTGCTTTATAGAAATATATAGTATATGTATTTAAAATAAAGACTTTTTAATTTTTTTTCTTGCATATTTATCAGTTTTATAAACAATATTATTATTTAATATCATAAGAGAAAAGCTCCAAAAACCAAGATACTGTTTTACTAGTATTCAATTAATTACAACACATACATTAGTACTTTTGGACAAGAAACCCATCTTCAGATACATCACGAATTCAATAAATAAATAAAACTGAAATTATGACATGAGTGAAAATAAAGTCCATTCCTTATGGCACGACAAAGGTCAGGGGTGAAGATTGTGATCACCGATTCCAGCTCTTCGATAAGTCAGTCTAAGAATTAGATAATTACAATCATTTATTATTCACATATCTATAAGTAATGTACACAGACTGGCAAAAAATTTAGTAACCACTAACATTTGGATAATGCCCAGTCATGCCCCTATAACTCTATCCATGTTATGACAATTTGAAAGAGAACTGGTACCACAAAAAGTATTGTTCTTACATTTTGTTAAAATAAACACTTAAAAGGGGGCTTTCTTACCAGAAAGTACCACTGCACAAATTTTAATTATTTAATCGCCTTTATGGCAGTATCTTAGTTTTCGTTTAATATAAAATTTTCTTTAAATAATAATTTTAATTCCATCAACTAATAAAAAAGTAAATATTGAATCAATTTTGTGTAAAGAGTAAGTTGTATCATCAAGAGAAAAAACCTTTACATGTATTTACTCAAACTAAATGTGTTTCTACCGGTCTCAACTAAATTATATAGCGGAAGACAAATCTCTCTAGATAAAAGCCGAACATTCTGCACTTAAACTAACAGCAATAGGTAACTTGATCAAATGTACTTCAATATATATAAAAAAAGAAACTTCTAAGAAATTGTTTTCCTATATAAATACCCTGTTGTCGGCATACTGTGACAAGAAACGGCACTTTTTAAAGCTCCACCACTACTAAAACTCTATTTTAATCTTCATATTTATTACATAAATTACAATATAACATTGATTACAATTTAATAAATTATTNAAGTTTCATTCTAAAATTAACATGTATTTTAAATCTAAATAATTATTTTTGCTGACAACTAATATTTTCATTGGTATGTGTAAAGTTTAGAATATCATCATACCATAAAATAAAATTTTTAATAACACTTTCTAATTTAGCAGATTGTATTCATATCTGGATCCATAATTAATAACCACACTTTCTGTGAAAATGTTTTCTGAATAAAAACAATATTGACCCATTTATATTTAAAACATCTATTTCAGATGATTATATATTTAATAATTTTGATGTGGAGCATTAGCAAAGCCTCTTCTACCTGGTTTACAAAACTGTGTTCAATCTCAAAATTTGATTGATCAATTTTGATAAAACTTTGCCATTTTTCATTAATTGCAATGAGGAATCCAGAAATGAAATAAAAATAGAAATTCAACAATGAGTTGCTTAACTTTCCCAGCAACATTTGGTGATGCCATCTCATCATGTTATCATATTTTATTTAAAAAACGTTTATATTATTAATTATTATAAAATGGAAAAACGCTTAATTTTAAGGGTAGGAATGAGTTTTATAAAGAATTGTAAATGCTAACAACCAGTAAAATCTTCATCAAGTCTGAAAGTCTGACCCTACTGGAGATACACATGACCCCCGCTTATCTCCCCATCTCTTCAACCTTTAATCACCAAAATTTGATAGCATCAATCCTCCTAATATACAAATCTCTCTGCATATATACATGACTTCCAGTTTGCATTGGAAGTTCATATATAGTTAATTGGGGCATCTTGCCCCTAAGCTTTCTATACCTGCTCTTGAATTTCATTTATCTAACATTGTTTTCAAAATTAAGGAAAATTGGGCAACAGTGGGAATTTATAAATCTACAATTTTTTAAAATTGCAGCCCAATAACAATAAACTAAAATGTACAGATAAGTGCTAGCCAACATGGCTTCTAAAGTTCAAAATTTTCTTCATAAAATGCTTCAGTGTAGACTGAAAATGTTTATCTTTAACATATTTAATTAAAATTCTTCACTGATCTTATATAAAAGATTTTGGAGTGTTTGATTCAATGTATAGATAATTTATTAGTATGCACAGATAATTTAAACATGTTAAAATAATGTGAAACACCAGTCCAGCTGATGGAAGTTTGTAAAATATAAATAGTCAAGACTTGGTAGATTAACTTGGATTTTCAGGGGCAGGCTCATGACTGTAGGAAAGAAATAAGCCATATCCAAGGATCCAGATTGTTTCCTTCTCTTGCTTCTGTTTGTTTTATTTATGATTTGAAGTTTGGAAGTGACAATTGTAAACTCTTCTGCCAAAATGGCAAATATCTTGTATTTTTTAATAATAATCTTGCTGTCATTCCATTGAGGGGCAGCTTTTTTTTTATGAATATTTGTTCTACTAGACTGTAGAAAATCATGGAAACCATTATGCTCTATAAGTTTCATCACAACTTAGTATACAATTTTTTGAACGAAATCAGGTGGCAGGTCTCAATGAAAGCAACAAAATAACAGTATTGTGATCAAAATAATAAACAGGTACTCACTGAACTAGAAACCTCCAAACTCTTTACAAATATCTAAACAAAAGTGATGTGGAAGTGGTGACTGTATGACAGCTAACAATATATGACATAATTAAAAACGAAAAAGAATGAATATAAAAGCAACAAAGAGATGTCTACTCCATCTCAATTAAAACAGACAACACAACAGTACAACATAGGCAGCATGTATCGCATACTTAAGACAAGCGTGTCTAAGCATAAAGACAATCTCAAATAATGAAAATTATTCTGCTTCTCAATGGAAAGGCATCAGGATTCTGGATAAAAAATACATGATATTTGCCACTTAGAACAGCTGAAGAGTTGACCATCACCACTTACAAACTTCTGGTCTTGATTAAAAGAAGAGAAGGAAACAATCTAGATTCTTGGATCTTGTTTCTTCCTTACAGTCATGACTCTTTTGCTGAAAATTCCAGATTAAGCTTCTCCCCAAGTTTCAGGCTATTTATATCAAGAATAAGTTTATTCAATTTGAATAGAATAACATTTGATGTTCTATTCAAATTGTCAGGACTTTGAATATTGTTGATCTGAAGATGGGATTGAAAATCTAAAAAAGCACTTAACCAAATAAACATCCTGACTCCTTCAATCTTTTTGAGTTTCTTTCTAATGTTTATATCTGTAAAGTCTTCTTTTCTAGTTGAGAGTTATAATTTTATGGATATTCCAGTAACAAAAGTTAGGTTTATTTTATTTAAAACTTTTTCAAAATTATGAAATATGTAAACATTGTAATAGCTTATTACTACTTTTTATAGGCTCTTCAGGTTCCTTTGTGTCTAGGTACTCACTGTCTTTTACCTAACATGATTATTATATAGGAAAAAAGCTATTTAAATCTTGTTGTATATAATAATCTCATTAGTTGTATAACATATGGCACTACCTATGCAAAACATTATTTAATATAAAATGGATTAGATTAATAGATAATTTACAATAACTAAATTAAGAATATTAATCAATAAAATGAACTGGACTGGACTAATAAAACAAGACAATGTAACACTTGGGCCATCTGTCAAGGGGATGCATCACAACAGGACTTCCTATGAGAAAGTGGCTCCTACTTAGATATCACATACACAAAGAAATCCCAAAAAA